TCGCCTCATGCGCGCATGTCCTGCCGTGCTCGTCCTTCTCCCTCAGCAGCGTCCTCCCCGCATGTCTCTACAGCATACCGCACTACCTCCAAGTGCCCTCCCGCACTCGCCGCATTAGGGCATGTCCTGCCGTACTGGTCCTTCTCCCTCAGCAGCTCCTCCCCGCATGTCTCTGCGACATACCGCACTACCTCCAAGTGCCCTCCCGCACTCGCCGCATGAGGGCATGTCCAGCCGTCATTGTCCTTCTCCCTCAGCAGCTCCTCCCCGCATGTCTCTGCAACATACCGCACTACCTCCAAGTGCCCTCCCGCACTCGCCGCATGAGGGCATGTCCAGCCGTCATTGGCCTTCTCCCTCAGCAGCTCCTCCCCGCATGTCTCTACAGCATACCGCACTACCTCCAAGTGCCCTCCCGTACTCGCCTCATGCGCGCACGTCCAGCCGTCATTGGCCTTCTCCCTCAGCAGCTCCTCCCCGCATGTCTCTACAGCATACCGCACTACCTCCAAGTGACCTCCCTCACTCGCCTAGTGCGCGCATGTCCTGCCGTCATTGGACTTCTCCCTCAGCAGCTCCTCCCCGCATGTCTCTACAGCATACCGCACTACCTCCAAGTGCCCTCCCGCACTCGCATAGTGTGCGCATGTCCAGCCGTCATTGGCCTTCGCTCTCAGCAGCTCCTCCCCGCATGTCTCTGCAACATACCGCAGCACCTCCAAGTGCCCTCTCTGACTGCCCAGTGCGCGCATGCTTGCCGTCATTGTCCTTCTCCCTCAGCAGCTCCTCCCCGCATGTCTCTACAGCATACCGCAGCACCTCCAAGTGCCCTCTCTGACTCGCATAGTGCGCGCATGTCTTGCCGTACTCGTCCTTCTCCCTCAGCAGCTCCTCCCCGCATGTTTTTTGCAGCATACCACAGCACCTCCAAGTGCCCTCCCATGCACGCCAAGTGCGCGCATGTCCTGCCGTGCTTGTCCTTCTCCCTCAGCAGCTCCTCCCCGCATGTCTCTACAGCATACCACAACACCTCCAAGTGCCCTCCCTCACTCGCCAAGTGTGCGCATGTCGCGTAATCATTGTCCTTCTCCCTCAGCAGCTCCTCCCCGCATATTTTTGCAACATACCGCACTACCACCAAGTGCCCTCTGAGACTCGCATAGTGCGCGCATGTGTAGCCGTCATTGGCCTTCTCCCTCAGCAGCTCCTCCCCGCATGTCTCTACAACATACCGCACTACCTCCAAGTGTCCTCTGAGACTCGCCAAGTGCGCGCATGTCCTGCCGCCATTGTCTTTCTCCCTCAGCAGCTCCTCCCCGCATGTCTCTACAGCATACCGCAGCACTTCCAAGTGCCCACCTGCACTCGCATAGTGCGCGCATGTCTTGCCGTCATTGCTCCTCTCCATCATCAAGGTCCTCAGAGTCTCTTTCCCGCATTCTTCCTCTACCGTCTTCAGCACCTCCACATGCCCATACTCCCCCGCCCAGTGCATCATCGTCTTCCCTTCATCGTCCTTCGCTCCTACCTCTGCACCTGCCTGTATCAGCTCCCTCACGCTCCCCGCCCTCCCCAGCATCCCCGCTACATGCAGCCCTGTCCTCCCGTCCTCCATCCACTCGTCCATGTCGCATTCGCCCGATTTCAGCAGCCCGATCAGCTCCCCCTGTCCTCGTACCACCGCCGTCACTGTCGGCGGCTCCCCGTGCTGGCCCGACCTTGACATCGACAAGCCGTACATCCCGCACAGCCTCTTGCTCTGCTCTCGTCTGCCGTCATCGCCTGCTGGAGTCCGCGAGCTGATCTTGTACATCAGACCCGCCATCGTCTTCCAGTACACTGACTGCATCGGCTCGCGTGCAATGGCTTGACATTTAAGGTCTCCCTGGGTGTCTTCGATCCAGTGCCTGAGCTTGTTGATCGCCATGTCCTTCACTCGGTTCGACAGCTCGATCGCCTCCTTGTAGTTTGACTCGTCGTTGTACCAGCCCGACTCCCTCGCCCTGCTCGCCTCCACCAGCCCCCAGCTCTCCTCCACGATCGATCGGACAAGATTCTGATGGTGCTTGTAGAAAGAGTCAAGTGTTGCTGTCCTGAGCCGCTCCTGGATCCTCCCCTCCCACCCCCTCACGTCTCGCTCTACCTCCCTCGCCAGGTTCTCCATCAGCCCTACATACAGCTGCTTCCTCTTCCCCACAAAGTCCTCGATCGTCAAGCTCATCGTGTTCGCGTTGATCTTCAGCTCCAGCACCTTCACCCGCCTCCCCTCTACCTCCCTGTACCGCGGCGTCTTCACCACCTCCAGGTACGACAGCGGCGGATACAGCATCTCCCCCTCCCCCGGATACTGAGACACAAACGTCAAGCTCGCCCCCCGGTCGATCGCCCCGCAGCTGATCTCGAACACGATCGACTCTCCCTCCTCCCCGGCGTACTGCATCGCCTTCCTGACGTCTGTCGTCGTGCTCAGCAGCCCGTACTCGACTCCTCCGGACACCCCGAGCTTGTCCTCGTTGAGGAAGCTCTCCGGCAGCCTCATCCCCTTCAGCCCCCTCCACACAACCCGCAGCCCCTCCGGCAGAGGCGTGTGACGAGACAGCTTGACGATGCCGCTGACGATGCAGTGGATGGTCGTCGTGTACTTGTTGGGGAGCTTGCTGGAGTCTCGGAGGTCGTCGTTGGGAGCTCGAAGAACAGAGTTGTACTTGAAGTACATCGGCCCTGTCATAGCAAGCCTCTTGTCAGCCATCTCACGCTCTCTTGCTCCTCTCTCCTCCCCCATGCTCCTTCTCCCTCTCTCGCTATCTCTCTCTCTTACCTGTGTAGAGCTGCAGCGCGATCAGCTCCGCCTCCTGTAGCCCCGCCTTCATCGCCGTGTCCAGCCCCTTCAGCTCCTCCATCCCTCGGATCACCCGCTTCCCGACCGACAGGCTCTGCCTCCTCTGCGGGTCTGTGACGTTGAGCCACTCCTCCTTGGCTGTCGTCCTGATCCCGTAGTTGCTCGTCGTGAACGCTTCCTCCGCGTCCTCGCCCTCGCAGTGCTCCTCCTCTATCGCCTTCATCAGCTCCGTCTGAGGTAGCCCGATCCGCTCCATCAGCCCCCCGTAGTACTCCTCGATCTTCCCGTACACGGCCTCGCGTACCTCCCCGCTGCCTGTACCGTCCGACTCATTCACCGCAAACTTGCTGTTGTGCGACGTCGGACCGTCTCCTCCCGCCCGCCCTCCTGCCTCCGCCGGCCTCCTCAGCGCCTCCTCGAGCCTCCTCCCTATCGCCGTCTGCCATAGAGCCGATAGAGCGCTCTCCGTCATCCCCTGTAGCCCCGCAAGAGGACTCGCCGCGCTCCCGCCGGGGATGCACTCCGCCATGACTCGGAGGATGTTGAGGTCGCCGAGGCTGCTGGCCTTGCGCTCGAGCTCCCACTCTCTTGCGACTCTGACCTCGTAGTCATCGTACGAGAGCTTGTCAGGGCTGATGGCCGACGCGTCGACGCCGAGAGCCATGCGGAGGTTGTTGAGAATCGTTTTGTAATCCTTTGAGTCTCGAGGGGTCTGAAAGAGCTTCTTGAGGTCAGAGCTGATGTCGTCGAGGATAGTCCAGCTGGTCGTCTGCTGGGCACTAGCTGGTGGATGAGCCGTGGGATTTCTGATTTGAGCGAGAGCGGAGGAGTGGGCGAGCAGCACTTCATTCTTGACTCTCAAGGTCAAGAGCTCACGCTCCAGCTCTAGAATCTCTGTCTGTACATCCTTCCCCATGCCGTACCAGTCTAGCAGGAGGGGACAAGGCCCAACAGATCTCAACGCCTGTCACAAGCGTCATGTCATCGAGAGTTGCTTAGAGGGGTGATACGATCTTGTTGTCTTACACATAAACCTAAGGCTTGTCATCTACACACAGCACAAGTTCTTCCCTCGTGGCATTCTTAATTATCTCTTCTCTTCACTTCCTTTTGTTGGAAGAGAAAGAGGGGAGAATGGCAGTATGAGAAAAGGAAAAGCGCAAAACGTTTCTAGCTTCCCTCTACTTGCAAACAAGAATGCCAAAAAACCTTCCATCAGCCGTTTCTTTTCCCTCCTCTCTTCTCCTTTCTTCTGTCTGTTGTCACGTCTCTTTCTCTCTGCAGCAGCTACAAGACATCTCTCACACTCTAGCGACATGACAAGCTTGTCCTCACCCTCCCTCAAGCTCCTTCCATCCTCTCTCCCTCTCTCCTCCCGCTCTTCAATCGCTTCCATTGTTATAAGCACATTCACGACCACCCCTTCCTGTGATATGACCCTACCCTACCCTATAGAATACCATGGTTTCCTGAATTTAATAGGGGTGGGCAGTACCAGCCTACCCTACCTCTCTACAGAGTTAACATCCTCACATCCCACCACTTGAGAATCAGCGGGTTTGAGGTACCCCACCCACCCTTCTAAAAAGTCTACATGGATACCCACCCTTCTTCTTAACCAAGAGGGGGTGGGGGTGTACCATCTCACGAGACCACCCCCTGTACTGAAAGCATACGTACACCCACCCTACCTCCAGTCTGAGAAGCATTTTAGGAAGGGAGGGCACACCACCCGTACTTTCCTCAGCCTACTACCCCACCCCTGATCAGAAGTCAACCTGTTTTTGGGAAATGAAGGATTGAGTACCCCGTCTGATCTCATCAGTACAACGGGTAGGGGTACCCGAGGGGATTACACGGGTACAGGTAGGGTACCCTACCGTCTCTACTCCACTGTTATTATGGATAAAGTACCGGTATCAGACTCTGACTTAGGTCGGACCGACGGTAGGGGTAGACAATCATCGCACTACGGTCAGTTACTTTTGTCCGTTAGACTGGTCTTTACTCAAAGTTTTTAGACATCAGAAACGCTCTTACTTAATTAGTTATTCAAGTGAGTCACCGTACTACGGTACTTTGAGTAAAGAGTCACAGTACCGGCTAGCCCGTATCGGGCCCGGCTCCGCCTGAACGGTGAAGTTTCCAGTACCGGCGCCCGGCCCGGCCCGGCTCCTGCCGCCCGGCCGCCCGGCCCGGCCCGGGCCCTCCGAATACCTCCCGGGGCCGGGCCCGGGGTCCGCCTGAACAGTAGTCACCAGTTACCATAGTACGGTACGGTAACCAGTGCCGGGCCCATGCCGCTGTCTGTGTGCAGTGCCCGGCCGCCGGGATTCACCGGCCCGGAGTCGAGCCCCGGGCGGCGGCCGGGCGGGCGACTGACAGTGAGTCTCAAGGGGATTTGAAGGATCGCATGCCAGTGCAGTGCCGGCCGTGCCAGTCAAACTATTAGCGCACTCCAACACTGTCACTCTCGTGTACCAACTTTACACCAAGAATACGATATTGCACATTCGAGTGAAAGAAGCTCTGTGAAGAGAATCGCCGTGACAGTGAATTGAACCAGAGACAGAGAACACACTCAACGACAACGGTAAGTCAGAGCCTGGTGAACACGTCGACGTACAAGATGGCCGTACAGTAGTGCTCCGATCAACACTGACAGTATTACTCGTAGATGAACCGCACGGTGCAAAACTTCCAGGACGCAATGGCGCGTTCAGCTCACGGTACGAGCCTCGGAGCAGATGATGAGGTACAGATGCAGTCCGAGAAGGAACGAGGGGCTGTGTTCCCCGGAAACGCAAACAGTCAGATCAGATCACACAAGAGCAGTATGTTGTGATGATGCAAGTGCGATCATGAGTGAGAGAGACAGATCACCTGGTGTTCGATTTGCGGGAAGAAGAAGTCGCTGAGAGTAAAGCCCTCAAACCCAATGAGATGCGAATGAGATGGAAAGCGAAGATGTTGAGATCTGATTGAGAGGAAGCAGAGTGAGTCAGCGACAGTCTCCTGATGCTGGTCTCTTGAGAGGAAGCAGAGTGAGTCAGCGACAGTCTCCTCATGCTGGTCTCTTGAGAGGAAGCAGAAGGCGGCGCTGCTCGTGGCCGTGGCGCTGGGGTGTGTGAGGGGGGAGGAGTGAAACGAACTCTGATCGATCAAACATTCAAGATCCGGAGTTACACACTGTGTGAGCGAGTGCTCAGTGACCCGAGGAGCAGTAATGAGATCAGAGCCGGGAGCAGCTGAGATCCTCTGATCAGCACACGATGACTCTTGGGACAGACGATGCTCGGCACGAACCAACTTGTCTCTTCGTCTCGGGTCGACGCGCGGCGTCAGGTGACCGATGGCAGCGTCTCACGCGGGAGAGTGGAAGAAGGTGTTGCCAAGACAAACAAGAGTCCGAGCAAAGTGACTCTAGAGCAAGATGGAAGAAGGTGTTGCCAAGACAAACAAGAGTCCGATCAAAGTGACTCTAGAGCAAGATGGAAGAAGGTGTTGCCAAGACAAACAAGAGTCCGAGCAAAGTGACTCTAGAGCAAGATGGCGTGATGGGTGCGAGGGAGAGATGCATGGGAGGAGAGAAAGGAAAGCAAGTGATCATTCAATTTATTGACTGAGCAAGAAGGACAAACCGGAGCAAACAAAGGAGGGGGAGGATAGAGCCAACAAACCCGCCTCAATAAAATACTAGGAAACGAAGGAGGCAGCGAAAACCGGCATTCAGGAGGAAGAGGTTGGAGACCTTGTCTTGTCCAAGGGGAGGATGGATGAAGACATCGGGGGGGTTGGAATCGCGTCCATGAGAGAGGAACGAGAGTGACTCAGTCGTCATGCTTCTGATGGTGGTCTTTGATAGCCACGTCAGCGGTCAGCACAAGACCAGATCCATTCCTCAGCACCACCCCCTCACCCACCACAGGGCCGAAGCCACCCCTCCACCATAGTCCATACACGCCAACTCTCATTAAGGGGTACCCCGGTCTCACTCGATCCCTTGCCAGAGAAGATCTCGCGAGACATCCTAGTAGCCTATGACCTGTCTACACACCCGGGTGCTACCTAGCCTAACAGTCTGACCTGACTACGGGTACTCCTGAGCTCGGTCCTCGGCGTTGAGCCAAGTAGGTTGGCGAGTGTCTGCCGGTACACTCGGAGGACTGTTTACGAAGCGGCGGCTCTTGCACACAGTCGCTCGGAGCTTGCGGAGTTGTGTGACACTGGAATGAGTTGCAAAGTCTCAAAGACTTTGAAATTCTCGGGTCTGATTTCAAAATCAGACTCGAGACTTCCGTGCGTCACACAACGTCGGTCCACTTGCAACAAGCTTGATTTCGATCCGTCATGACCCAGGAGTCTCAAGCCTCGTATACATGCCAACCATGTTGATCTCATGTCTGGTCAGTCATGATGTTTTCTGCAGTTTCTGTTTGTTGGTGTTTTTTTCGTTTCTGCTGCAAACTCGTGCAATCCCATCAAGTCTCGTTACACACATTCGGATGACTCTTCTCTTCAATCAGGCTCTCTCTCTAGCCGCAAGTTGTTTCAAGTCAGCCCTATCACTAGTATCCCAGCCACAATCTGTTTGATCGATCTTCGGATGCACTCTAGGAACAACAAGCCTCTCCCCAGCCAGATTGGTCGGTCGGATATCAGCTACACTGCGGACCGGACATGAAGTTGCCGGAAAACACTGGGAGGTACTAGTCGATTCCGAGTCTGACTGTTATTTCAAGTCTCTTGATCGTCAGCTTTGAGTAGGATCAAATCAGCAACTCCCAGGAGACTGCGATCGAGGGACGTGTTGATGTCACAGAGCTACTGGTGGCTAGCCTTACACATGAGAGACTGCCGGAGCTACTTGTGGATCGGTGAGCAAGCTCACTTGTGCATCGGTGAGCAAGCTCACTTGTGCATCGGTGAGCAAGCTCACTTGTGCATCGGTGAGCAAGCTCACTTGTGCATCGGTGAGCAAGCTCACTTGTGCATCGGTGAGCAAGCTCACTTGTGCATCGGTGAGCAAGCTCACTTGTGCATCGGTGAGCAAGCTCACTTGTGCATCGGTGAGCAAGCTCACTTGTGCATCGGTGAGCAAGCTCACTTGTGCATCGGTGAGCAAGCTCACTTGTGCATCGGTGAGCAAGCTCACTTGTGCATCGGTGAGCAAGCTCACTTGTGCATCGGTGAGCAAGCTCACTTGTGCATCGGTGAGCAAGCTCACTTGTGCATCGGTGAGCAAGATAAGACTGCACAACCTCTTCAAATGCCTTGAAACGGATGTTCCACCCTCGCGACAGCAATCTCTGGTTACAAGATCTTTACGGTTCAAGTATCATCTTTTAGATATCAAAAGCCCGGCGGGCAAGCTTGTCTCTCCTTGTTCAAGTTCCTCTCTTATCTTCTCCTCTATCACTACTTCCTCCCCTACATCACCCCCTACTCTGACGCTTCTCCCATGACCCCCCA